CGCCACGCGCAACTGCCATTCCACTAGATCCGTGCCTAGGGAACGTTCATATTGTACTCTTTTATATTACCCGAATTAGTGTTTAGTTCGAAGGTATAACAAAAAGATACAAGATATGAAAATATAGACATTTAAATATGATAATGGACGCCATTAAATGATCTAAACGCGCAGGCAGTTGATCAAAGAGTAGTAACAAAGTCCTAAAAGTCCTAAAAGAATGCATATCCAAATTCAATAATTCAATAATTTTCAATAATTTAACTGCTGTAACTGACGTACGGAGGATGTAAAGGCTTTTGCAGAACATCAGCGTTTTTACCCCTAGGGTACAAAACATATAGCTGAGCAAAGGCCCTATCAGTTCTGCATTGCAACGCATTGTCAAATTGTTTATATATTTTGTTTTTTTTTTTCCTCTTCAATTTTCTTGTCATTAGTTTTGATTGTTAATGATTGGTTTTCGTTGTTCTCGTTTGTATTTTTTTTTTGTTCAAGTGTATTATGTTGTATTGTGTTGCAGTGTGTTTTGGAACTGATTAAATGTGTGTATTATTATTGTTATAAATAAAAATTCTAGCTTTCGCCCGCGACTCAAAAAAATAAAACGTAAATTTATGCCAAATTTAATCGAGATTCGTCCAGCAGTTTAGGCAGAAATCTAACAAACATCCACTGATCTATAACTTCGCATTTATAATATTAGTGAGACATTAAGATTAATTTGTAAGGCTGTATTTGAGGTAACAGATATTATAAATATTTACCTGTAATCATTTCAGTGATGGGATGTTCGACTTGCAGACGCGTGTTCATCTCCATGAAGTGGAAGTCGTGCGTGTGCCGGTGCAGGATGAACTCCACCGTGCCCGCGCCCACGTAGCCCACCGCCTGCGCCGCGCGCACCGCCGCCGCGCCCAGCGCGCCGCGCGTCGCCTCGGACAGGCCGGGCTGTGCCAATTTAGCCTTTAACACTAACACGATACGAGTGGAATTCCCACGAATATACATGGAAAACACATACTAGCAGAAGTGCCGATTATTCATTTGACATCTTGTGCTATTAAAAAATAGATACCCTTAACCCTTAAATGCATCATACATCAGTCTTTTCTTCCTTACGCAATAGACAATTCGGATTTTTTTTTTCATTTTTCTTTCAATCTATGTTCAAATCACTACCCGTTTCAATTTATGGTATTTAAAACGAAAAAATCGTGCATTTAACATTTAAGTAACAAATAACATTAAAACTTACACTATACATAAACTACACGTCGCATTCCAAATCAAGATTAAAAAAAAAAATTAAAATGTAAACATACTGCGGGTGCCTCTTCAATGATTTTTTGATGACGTCTTTGTACAGAGCAGTCTCTTTCAAATAAATGTACCGCATTGCCGTACATATCTGCGAATACCTGTTAAATAGAAATATTAAAGAAAATTATAAAAAGCAAATCTAAAAGATATATGAATGTATTGAGTAATTCATCTTTCATACTGCATGACAAAAACAAATCGTTTTTCTTAATGGACAACAACATATAACTTTTTTACTTAGTTGTATTATTCAAATTACAATAAAATGATTACCTGAACTTCAACATGTCTGGGATCAGTAATGTACTGTTCTAACAGCATACTCTCATCTCCAAAGGACTTCAACGATTCTCTCTTAGCTGATTCCAGTTGTGACAAAAATTCATCTTCTGTCATTGCAATTCTCATACCCTGAAAAAGGAAATACAGATGCTATTTTAAATTTATTTACAATGATGAAACACTTTTATTCAACAAAGCAATATATGTAAAGAATAAGTCATACTATAAAGGATTAGATTTCACGTGGAATTAAAAAAAAGTGAGTAACTTATGTGTTCTTCCATACTATCCTCTACAGCTATGCCAAATTTCATTGAGTTTCGTTTAGCTGTTTAGGCTACAAACTCTAACAAACATCCATCCATCCATCCATCTAAAATATTGCATTTATAATATTAGTAATATTTTTTTGTATATTTGATTCACGCAAAAACTACTGAGCCGATTTTAATTCTTTCACTATTAAAAAGGCAATTTATCAGTGAGTAACATAAACTAACTTTTGTATTATTTTTTATGTCACGCGGGTGAAGTCGCAAGAAACGGCTAATCTAATAATAGTGGTTTAGTAATGTCTCCGATGTAAAATCATCCAATCCTACTTAATTAAAAAACATTCAGTTAGAAATCCTGTTGCTTCATTACCTTGCCTCCTCCACCACGAACAGCTTTGATCATTAAAGGAAATCCAATCTTGTTTGCTTCTGCCTTCAGCCTTTCAATACTTTGATCTTCCCCATGATAGCCTTTAACTATTGGTACTCCTGCGCTTGACATTATTGCTTTTGAAGTACTGAAAATTTTGTTAGAATCAATTATTGGGTGAACATTCTATGTCACAGGAGTATTTAATTAATGTTAATGTCTATATCTATACTAATATCATAAAAAAAAGGATTTGTATTTTTGTATGTATTTTAACAACTCAAAAACTACTGGGCTGATTTCAAAAATTCTTCCACCATCACCAATCACCAAAGCTACATCTGCAAGCAATCAGTGAGTAACATGCTATGCTTTTTATTACTTTTTGAATTTCATTCAGATGAAGTTATGAGCAACAACTAGTATCTAATGTGTTAGATGGTACAATGACATTGTATAGCATTGTATGAAAATTTGATTTGTTTTGCATGAAAGTAAACTTGTTAGGTGAGTTATTGGAGTTTAATAGTATGATGGCTATCATATAAACTATCATGTTTGTAATGTTAATTGTATAAGACAAAATTTTAAACATTTAAATAATCAATGGAGCATGGAGAAAACATAATGTTTTTCTTCTTTGTAATGTTATTTTCTAATTTCAATAGAAGTTACTATTTATACAATTAATTTATGAAATATAAAAAAGTCTATGTAGGTAGAGCTAAACAAGTAAAGATCAATATGATTCCATTTACTAAAAAAAGTTTTATATGTAAATGTTACCTTTTTATTCCCATATCCCTTATAGCAGACGGAGGTGGTCCAATAAATATAACACCTTCATTGGCACATTTCTCACAGAATTCTACATTCTCAGAAAGAAATCCATATCCAGGATGTATGGCTTGGCTGTTTGACTTTTTGGCAATTTCCAATATTTTATTTGCATTAAGATAACTTTGTGCTGATGGTGCAGGCCCAATGTGATAAGCCTCATCTGCCTGAAAATTTGAAAGTTTTTATTTTAGCATATATTACACAATAATGACAATATAGGATATTTGAAAACAAAAATTATCTTTTATCTATTCAATAAATTTTAAGTGTGAATATGTGATGAAAGAAATAAAATTTAAAAGCACTATGTGAATTATGGTTGTCAACCACTTAATATAAAATATATTACAATCAGATTTTGGCCATGATAGTTTAATTAATATTTAAAGTCATTTTACCTACTTCATTAACATGCATAATTTAAAATTAAAAATTCAAGTAACATATTAGAAAGCAATTTCATAAACGGCTTTAATTACCATTTCTACATGCATAGCATCTTTATCAGCATCAGAGTAAACAGCAACAGTTCTGATTCCCAACTTTTTTGCTGTTCTCATCACCCTACATGCTATTTCACCTCGGTTGGCTATCAACACTTTATCTATATTCCTCAGCTGAAGGTCATTTTTGACCCCAGCATGATTATATCTCAACCCATGTTGAGTAGTCAATGAATTACTGTGAAGAAAAACATTTATATGATATGCAATACCATACATAAATTTTTGATTTTCTTATATCTAATGAAAAAAAATTATCATTCGCTCACCGAATTTTAAATAAATGTCTTAGTTTGTACATGATTCCTTGATATATTCACTTTGTATTAATAGTATACTATTCATAAAATGTATGCCTATTCACACACTCAAAGTACACGCGAGTTTATCTTAAAAAACGCAAATGGCAACTGATTAAATATAACTCTGATAAAATTACAAGCGCAATAACGAATACTCGTATATTTATCCAATTAATTTAGAGTAAAGAATGTCGTCATAAGTTATCGCGCTTCCTTATCATTAACGAATTCTCGAATGACAGCTTGTATGCATAATTTAAACACATAATAAGACTATCACGTCCAATCAAGGCGAGCGTTCTAGTAGTTGAACAAAACAAACCTGTTTTAATTCAGAGTTTTGACCTGAATCGTTACTCCGTAGTTCGTAACCGCGCGATTATCATGTTTACTTTTTGGTGTAATCATAATGTCAAATGTCAAAATAAATCAAATCTAATGTCAACTGTTGTCAAAGTCTTGCCACCACAGAAAAAACTTTTTAAATTCACGCATAGAATTCCATATGGCGAAATATTTTTTCATTGTTTAGGAAGTGGATTAATTGTAACAATGGTTCATTTTATGTATTGTGTGTATTTTCTAACTCTAATAACTCTTGTAGTCTAATGCATGTATTTACCATATATATGTGGTTCTTTTTCAATGATGAAGTTTAGGTAACGCTTTGAAATGTGCTGCTGTGCCTGGCTGAACATTTAAAAGATCTTATTTCATGCTGTCACGGTTAAAAACTTTATTTCAAATTCAAATCAAACAATTTAATAAATAAAAACAGTTCAAATCTTACAAACTCATATTATATTTATCTCGTATTAACGAAAAGTGATGGATATCGAGATATCATAAAATAATCAAGAATGGGTATTAAAGGCTTGTGGACAGTTTTTGCCCCATATTGCGAAAAAAAATCCTTACACGAAGTAAGATTACTAATATTTTTAAAACTTGTGTACGTATTATATATACCATTTAATCTCCTACTTTTAATAGATCCAAGGTGAAACCGTTGCAGTTGATTTATCAGGATGGGTCTGCGATAGTCAAAATGTCACCGACTACTATATACAGCCAAAACTCTACCTTAGGTATGTGCTAATTGTTTCATATCATTAGTATTTCTGCTAATAAGTTCTTATAACAACATATTCATTACTTGTTTCAGAAATTTATTTTTCAGAACCGTATATCTTCTTTTAGCTGATATCCAACCAATATTTGTACTAGAAGGAGATGCCCCTGAACTTAAAAGAGATGTGATGGCTGCTCGAAATGCGTTACAGTTCCGAGGTGCCCAGTCTCAATCGAGTAAAACAAGTGACAAGCCTGATGTAGCCAGACGTAGGTTTAGAGGGGTCTTGAAAGAGGTGTGATCTAGTTACTGTATCAAATAGATGTAGGGAACTTTATGATTTTGTTACATTAATTTACATGTTTCAGTGTGAGTCCCTTTTGAGAAGTATGGGAGTGAAGTGTATAAAAGGTAGTGGTGAGGCGGAGGCTACATGTGCACAATTGAATGCTCAAGGTGTTTGTATTTTATTTATTTTTTATTTCATTTATTAGCTGCCATACTCAGTAGTTTAGAGGTCATAAAGGCAAACTTTAGGGAAGATAAAGATAAATGTATATATTATTTAAATATGAAGTAAGCAATTATTTCACTTTTTTCTCAGGTTGTACATGCAGTAGTGTCTCAAGATTCCGACTGCTTTGCTTACGGTGCTCGTCGTGTGTACAGAAACTTTAGTGTATCTAACTCAGCAGGAGGTGGTGCAATGCAGGGCTCCGTTGACTGCTATGACGCTGATGTTATGTTTAAAAGCAATGGTATATCTATTTAGTTACAATCAATTACAAAACTATGTTTATATCAAACTTTAAACTGATATACAACTTTTAACAGATAAATATTTGACCACATATTTGTATATTGTGATGTAATTATGTTGATAACCCCAACATTTCATGGAAATATCCCATGTTTTTTCTGTTCATTTGGTATGTATGTTGCAAAAGAAACTTTTGTTCCAGGTTTCGGTCGGAAGAAAATGGTCGCCTTAGCTTTATTATGTGGCTGTGATTATGGTATAGGTGCTTGTGGGTCATCCATAAACACTGTGGTGTCCTTTTTACACACCATTCCTGATGATAAAATTATACATAGGTATTGTAACATCTACTTGCATTGTTAACATTAAAATGTACATAATTTTGTAAGTTTGTCAATTTAAAAACATACTGACAAGAGCTAACAACGTTTTTCAATTCCATAGACACTCTACGCCATTCCTATTGAGAAATCCAGAAGGAAAAAAATAATAGGAATTTAAAGAACCCTCATGTGTGCAATACGTCGTTTTTTATAGGAAGAGAAAACGCACAAAGAGGACATTTCCCCTTCCTATGCGTCTCCTCC